GCGGCCGGGGTGCCATAGCCCCCTTTTGCTCGGCGGGTGCCCACTCGTCTCTGGGGCCGCGGGCCCGGGATGAACTGCGCTGACACCGGGCTGGGACAACCGTCTGCTGGGGGTAGGCCTCCGCCGCCTCCCTGCCCCGCTCTGACACCTCGGCCTGGTTCAGTCTGGTTTCTTCTGGGCAGAGGCAAGAGTGAGCTTTGAAGGGAGGGGTAAGAAATTGAACTCTGCAGAAAAAAAACCTCTTCTGTGGCGGAGGCAGTACCTCAGGGGGTTTGTTCTGCCCAGACTTCGTGTGGTCACTCGTTACTTCTCAAAAGCAGACATGTCTTCGGCCTGGCGTTTGTTGGGTATAGCCACAAAAGCAACAGAAAAGCCAAACTCTTGTCAAGGCCTACAGTAGCCTACCTAGAAGCAAGAAATAGCTCATTTAAAATAACCCCAAATAAGTAACTCGCTTAGAAGCTTAACCCACGTGGCAAACTGAAAGGCTCAGCAATTTCCCATCTGATGGTGGGCCGCGGTGTGCAGCGGGATATATGAATGGCAGCACAACGGTAAACAAATACTGCAGCGCCAACCCGAGCTGTGAGATTTCAGGCCTCAACGAGTCACCTGTGTCCAGATGAGCAGAAGTGCTTGGGTGACCACTTCCCCAGTGTGTATATATTGGGTTTCCAGGCTTTCCCCTTCATCTTGTTCCTGGGTGTCTGCAGGAGGAACAGAGGGGCGCAACACCCCGTAAGGGAGCTTTGCTTGTCAGAGGCAGCCACTGGCCCAGCTTTGCTCTACTTCAGGAGGTGGGAGAGTTTAAAGGTGAGTGATACTGCCCTGCAGAGCTCTGCTGACTGGGGAAATGGTGTAGGTGACACAGGGAGTCCTGCTATGTGTGTGAAATAGATTGAGTCTCTGGGACCGCAGAAGGGAGAGTCTGTGTGTGATTTGACAGGGCACACCTGCCTACCCTTTATGGAGACACTCCAGCTGCGTCAGAGACACCACATCCTTCCCTTGTAGCTGCCACCAGACAGTCCCCAGGGACAGGTTCAAACCCTAAACCCTTCTTCTCTCTCTGCCTGTAGGATTGGTTTAGCAGGACATGAGTGGTTAGTGAGGGGAAAGGTGTTACCCCCTTCCACAGGCTGTGCGGAGCTCCTGATGGCTTCCATCTCTCTCTCTTTGCTCCCTAGAAGCTCACTGGTGTCTTTGGGGCACCCTTTTGCCCCTCAGAAAAGCCTGTTCTGTGAGCTGCTAGCAAACTGAATTCACATGTGCTATGCAGAAGCCTTCAGCTGTTGTCTCACTAAGTTACTAAATTCAAGGAATGTTACAGAAAAAACAGGTGTGAGGAGGAAAACCACAGCTTAACATAGCCCTGACTTGCCGGCTCCTTCCTGTATTATACAGACATTTAGCAGTTATAGAGGGAATTTAGGAGTTGAATGTGGAAGTCCTTTATAATATTTCTGCAGCAAAGATGCTCTACAAGGCATTAAGTGACGTAAGTGTTCTTAATATTAACATACTGTTTGTTCCTGTTAGACCTTGAACTAAAGAGCCAGCCCTTTGGGGGAGTGGCTAGAAGACTTCATGTCTTCGGAGGAGGATAAATGCAACCCTGATGACGATGAGCATGAATGTTCACTGCCTCCCCTTTGTCACGTAACACAGATCACTTTGGGTGCACCTTCTGGGGGAAGGGTTATGCTAACATGGATTTATTGTGGAGAGAGGCTAAACTGTCTGCAGTTCTTCTGGTGACAGCATGTGCTCCCAGCCCTGTGTCAGGTACCTCTATGCAGCCCCTGCCCTGATTCACTGAACCATGGGAAGGAGACAGCGCATAGGAGGCTTTCAGAGGGGTTGTCTGGAGCCCATCAGAGCTGTCATTGTTGCAGTCCCCACAGAAGAGGTCCAAGTTGCATACCCTCTGGGCAGGTTATGGAGAACCTGCTCATACAACCTGGCTCTGTTGGAGGCAGCACAGCTGCCTGGCAGTCAGAGCTCTTCAGCCAAGGCAGCAGTGGCAGTGAAAAGCTTCCTGAATTGTCACATGGATGGGTATGGTTATCTGTATGGGCTTGTGAGCAGAAAGGTACAAATGACTCAGCATCTTTGCTGTGACTCTGGCAGAGCCTCTTGGCAATGGTTTAAATTTAGTGATGTTCCCTTTCTATTGCTAGCTTGTGCGGCATCTGCCTGACAAAAGGGAAGAAAAGAGGTAGAACTGCTAAGCCATAAGTTGCCTAGAGACAGTTAAACCACCTGAGCAAAGTGCAAACCAACACTGGAGATTAAAAAGGAACTACATCTGACGGGTCTGTGGAAGCTAGTGAAGCAGTGTGCCGCTGAAGTAGCTTTTGGTAATGACCCCTGTGAGAGATTGGATGCTCGATTAAGAGGAGCATATGTCTTATTTAAGAATATTTTAAGCTTTGCCTGTGGAAGTCAGTTGTGACACCCCACTTCCAAAACAGGTAATGGGCAGAAGTCTGAGCCCAGAAAGTGTGCTCACATGAAGGGATGGCTAAAACTGAAAGATTTAGTGTTTGGGTCTCCAAATACACTGCCTGCTGAGTGTCGTGGTGTAGTGTCACTTTGACAAAAGCTGCTAGCTCCTGATAACTGTCACAGCGTTTCTAAATTAATCTCCAAACCATTCCAAAGAGTGCATTGACTAGTGCGACAGCAGGAATCCTGATTCCTAAGTGTCCTTGCAAATAAAATAAACCATAACATTGATGATCAGTATGAGATTTAAAAAGCTTTCAGGAAGTTAGGAACTCCACACCCAGTGTTTTAGAATGCATAAAGTACTCCACACTGGATCAATAACTTCCCCTTCTTCATTGCACCGCTTTCAGCAGTTTTTCAAAGAAAGAGCAAGCAATTCATCTGCCATTTTCTATCACGTTTTTTGTCTTTAACTTGCCCCCTGTTTCTCCTCTCTCGCTGGAAGAGCAGGGTCACTTCTCGGTTTGAACGCATACATGTATTTCATGTATGAAATATCCTGTTTCTGGTTTTGGTCCCAGTTCAGGACAGAACTGTGAGGGAAGCCATGTAAGAGTCTAAATCCCACTAGGTTGGGCAATACTTATTCATGTTGCTTCAATTTAGGTACATAATCAAGTATATCCTGAATAGGATGTTTTCCTAAACAGAGACATTTCTGGTACTCCATAACTTCATAGTTTAGTAATTTACTGATCTGGTTAATTAAATGCATATAATGCATACAGAGTATACAAGTTCAATGTGATGTTGTACTGTGAAATGTAACTGCCAACAGAAATAGGAATCTGTACAGGAAGAAGATCACAGAATCACAGAATGGTTGAGGTTGGAAGGCACCTCTGGAGGTCATCTGGTCCAACCTCTCTGCTTAAGCAGGGCCACCTAGAGTCAGTTGCCCAGGACCATGTCCAGACACCTTTTGAATATCTCCAAGGAGGGAGACTCCACAACCTCCCTGAGCAACCTGTGCCAGTGCTGTCACCCTTACAGTAGAAAAGTGTTTCCTGATGTTCAAACGGACCCTCCTCTGTTTCATTTTGTATCTATTGCTTCTTGTCCTGTCACTGGGCGCCACTGAAAAGAGCCTGGCTCCATCTTCTTTACACCCTCCCTTCAGGTATTTATATGCATTAATAAGATCCCCCCCGACCCTTCTCTTCTCCAGGCTGAACAGTCCCAGCTCTCTCAGCCTTTCCTCATGGGAGAGATGCTTCAGTCCCTTAATCACATTTGTGGCCCTTTGCTGGACTCTATCCAGTATGTCCATGGCTCTCTTGTACTGAGGAGTCCAGAACTGGACATAATACTTCAGGTGTGGCCTCACCAGTGCTGAGCGGAGTGGAAGGATCACCTCCTTTGACCTCCCTAAGCACAACATAGCTAGCCAGTGCAAGGGAGGTGATTGTCCCACTCTACACTGCACTGGTGCAGCCCCACCTTGAGTACTGTGTGCAGTTTTGGGTGCCACAATATAAGAAGGACATCAAACTATTAGAGTGTGTCCAGAGGGGGATGACCAAGATGGTGAAAGGTCTCAAGGGCAAGACTTAGGAGGAGCAGCTGAGGTCACTTTGTTCGCTCAGCTTGGAGAAGAGAAGACTGAGGGGTGACCTCATCACAATCTTTGCTTCGTCAAGGCAGGCAGTGGAGGGGGAGGTGCTGATCTCCTCTATCTGGTGACCAGCGATAGGGCACGAGGAAATAGAATGAAGCTGCATCAGAGGAAGTTCAGATTGGACATTAGGAAAAGGTTCTTCACTGAGAGGGTGGTCAGTCACTGGAACAGGCTCCCCAGGGAAGTGGTCATGGCACTAAGCCTGTCAAAGTTCAAGGAGGATCTAGACGCTGCTCTTAATTAGGGTCAAGGTTTTACCTCTCAAACTGATGTAAAACATTGAACCTAAGCTGTGTTTTAAAGTTGTTCCAGAGCATAATAGTGTCCTGTTAATCAGAGAATCACAGGATGGTTGAGGTTGAAAGGGACCTCTGGAGATCACCTGTTCCCACTGCTCAAGCAGGGACACCTACAGCCAGTTGCCCAGGACTGTGTCCAGACAGCTTTTGAATATCTCCAAGGATGGAGACTCCACA